GCACATGGAAAAAGTGCAGGGTATATATTGCTTATATGAACTCATCATGCTTTGGTGGTACCCAAGAAACTTATAGAAATTTTGAAGTTTTGGAAGTAGATGTGCATATTTATCCTGTCAGTTCATTCATTTTCTACTGACATGTCATCTTAAAAGGCTTTTCAACCTTTTAAACTTAAAGATAAACTCAATTACTGCCTTTATAATGAAGCAAAATAAGATCACAGACAAAATAACCTCAGTGTTTGGTTAGGTAGGTGCCTTTTTCCAGTTAGAAATGGCTTTTAATCATTTGAAGTGCCTCCTATTACATTTAGGTTAGGAGTGGGAAACAGGCACCAATTTATTCTAGAAGCAAAAGAACACCCATAGGAGTTCTGTGTTTCCTGGTAGTCAGTTCTAGACCTGTGTGGTAGAACCAAGACACTTTACAGCCAAAGATAATTATTCAATTATATGCTAAAATGTAGGTGTTAGTTGTGATGTTTTGAAGTCCATTTTTTCCTTTACCAGTAAAGGATGTTGTGTATGTTTTAGTGTAATTCTCAGGCTATATGAAATACTGGTTTGCCTTTGCTTGACTTCCATGTGCTTATGATTTCAAGCTTTTATGAGTAAGTGAAAATGTCATGGAATATTCCTTTTTTTTTTTTCCCTTGCTTTTCCTCTTAAGAGGTAACCTGTTAAATATTAAAGACCTGTGGTGCATGTTTCCTTAGAAATAATAATCTGAAAATAAAGGACTGGCAAAAAGGGTTTTCAGAGTGGCCTTCATTCAGTAAGGCTGCCCTGGTTTGCCTTGTGTTTTACAGTACACTGCTGGATGCATGGACAGGAAATACTCGTTCATTTCAGCATCAGACACAATGGGAAATGTATTTACTTTTAAATACCAACTTTGTTGATTTCATAATAAAGTTTTCAGTAACTTGAAGTAACATTTTTCATTTTTCATGTACAATTCCATGTACATTACCTGAACCCAGACAGTTATCTCACAGACTCTGGTATTTTAAGTCTATGAGATGGCTGTAGAGGGGAAAAAAATTCCATATGAACTGTGCTCCTAACTTTTTTTCCCCAAGCCTGGAGCATCCTTTTTACTGCAATAAAAACCTCCTTTACTGATGAATATGTGAGCCACTTATCAGTGTTACAGAGATGCTCTTTAAACACATTTCAGTGCTTTATTTATGTAATATTTTGGGGGGGTAGTATGCAATGAACACCATTAGACTTTCAGGGGTGAAGTTGAAATCTGAAGTGGTATTTTGCCATTGTGGCAGATTGTATTACACCTTTGATAAGTGATCTAAAGTTTACACCCAGTTCTCTGAAGGGGACTTAACATGTACATGTTTCTGTATCACAATAATAAAACCAGTCTTTAAAGCTCAATAGTTATTGCATTAAAGGGAAGAATGACATTTTTTAAAATGGCATCTTCTCCCTGAAGTGATGCAATGCTCATGGCTAGGAGCATGTCCACCACAGTGACACATTTCAATTCAATCTTAGCCTGTTTCATCAGCAGTGTAAGAATGAGCTGCAGTTTATTTCAGCTCACATGATCCACTAGAAAGATAAGATACTTCCAGATAATTGCAACATTTCCCATTTGTACGTGCACTCAGGTACCAGCAAAGTCAAAACTTGAAGATAATAATGGCACTGTTTGGGCTGCTGAATCCCTATGACATGTGGAGACATGCAGATGGGAGAGAACAGGGTTGAACTTCTGGATGCAAGGTTTGGCTTGAGATGCAGGGTTCAGAAAATCATCTTTGCTTTACAAGGAAATGCAAGTTTTGTACCATTGTGCTTTCCATCTTGCATCTCTTTCAATGGAGTCACTTAGCAGAGATACATACTCAAACCTGCTTATTGAACTGAAAAGCAGAAATCTATTTTTTAATTATTTCACATATGTATTTTCTAAGAGGTGACTTGGAAGAAGTTGGTGTATTTTATTAAAGATTATTTCTCAAATCAGCCTCTGTATTGATACAGTTGCTCTGTGGTGAAGGGATAGGACTGACTTCCCAAGCAGAAAACAGTGGCTTGAAGTAGGATTTGGGCAACACAGAACAGTTCAGCACCTACTCCTGTACACTGGCAAGCTGTGGATGCAATGCTGATTTCAGTAATGCTGAGCTGGCACTCACAAGCTCTAAGATTTGGTTGTCTGTAAGTAACACCTTTTCAATTTTTTTAGTGCAAAAGCTTTACTAATAACTATTTTGAAGAATCAGCTATTTATCACTCATCTGTTCTCAAAATCAGTGTTCAGATGACAACTGTCCTCAAAATCAAGTAACCTCCAAGCAGTATTAACTTCAGTAGGTAGAAATCCAGGAATTTTGTTGCCTGATGAAAGTTTTCAGGACTCTGTTCCAAATGTGGTGTGATTTGCAGTGCAGACTGTATTCCTCAATCCTAAACTGGGCAATCAACTGAGGTACAAATTGAGGTATAAAGATGGCAACAAAGAGTTAGCCAGAGGTCCCCTCTGCCCATGTCATGGCACTTCTCTAAATTAAAGTTACCAAGCAAGGTTCAAGAGCAGACCTGGATAACTCTGGCAATATTCATTGTCTTACTAAGAAATTCCAGTTTAGAGCTGCATTTGGAACATTGCAATGCCCATGACTGTCTTGTTTGCCTACATCATCACTGCTGCCACAAGCCCAACTTCCTCATTACACTGTAAACTGCTGAGCATATTTTGGGACACCCAAAACCAATTGATTTGTTACAATCTTGATAAAGTGTTTTATCGGGCTCAAGTGTAGCTTGCTTCAAGGTACAAGTCCTTAGTGTGCTGCTGCTTGGGAGGGACACTGAAATACACCCTTGTCACTCTTCAAAGCCTGAACATGTGAAGTGAAGGTACCTCCAAAGCCACTGAACTGAACAATCCTCCTTCCCTTCAGTGTCCAGGTTCAGTGCCCATAACTATCCAGAGATTCAAATTGCATCATTTTTTGTAACACTTCCTGAATGACAAATACAGTGCATTATTTTGGGCTGGTCTTTGATTGAATATTAAAATCCAGCAATAAACTCATTGCTTAGTATTTGCTTCTGAAAGTTAAAATATTTTGAGAGAGACAGCTCAAATAATGGCAAAATTTAAATGTGGTCTAATATTGAAGGAAATGGGCTAATTATTTTTTTTAAATCAATGGAGTGATTGTGATGGCCAGCTATGTTGTAAATAGCATTTCTTTGTCCATTCATTTGACTTCTAGCATTAGTACAGTTTCTTGCCTCTGTACATTTTCATCAGTGCAATCCCTTTTTGTTGTTCCTTCTTATCCATATATTTTTCAGATCGTTTTTGCAGCACAATTTTATGATACTGGCATCCTGACACTGGCAAAAAAAAATATTAAATAGTTAACTGTTTCTTGTATTCAAACTATTAAAACAATAGCATTAAAGTCAAATGTTTGTAATTACATTCATGCAAATACAAATATTTTGGTTTTGACAAAAGGAAATTCATCCTTTCTGCCTGTTGAATTGCAATGCTACACTCCTTGTTTACTATTAAAATTTTACATTGGTAATATTGCAACACTAAAAGAAATACACTTGAGTCTGTTTTCTTCTATTACACAGAACAAATGTAGATTACAGTACTATTTCAATATTATCTCATTACACGTCCTGATATAAAATATTGCTGCAAATTTATTGGGTCTCTAAAGACTTTCACAAAAAATTGATATGATTGACCTGTGGAGAAAAGAATGATTCTTCTCATGCCTCACCAAAAAGAAGAATTAGGCTGACTCTTGCAAAATGGTAAAGGGTAGTATGAGCAGGAGACTGCAACAAAACACTAAAACAAAACCATCATTTTAAAACATCTGTCAGAAAGACACTTCTGTCTGAAAATAGCAGTTCCCCTACTTGAGCTTTCCTAGATGTGTCACAGAATATCCACAAAATTTGCACCCCATTCCTTCACAGAAGCAAACCAGAAACAATGAGGATATTTTCTTCCTTCACGTTCTTCAATGCATTTATTTAGATTTTTTGGGGGTTTGGTGAAATCATATTAATCACTTATATGTGCTCATACCAAATGGATTAAGAAGCAATACCAGGGACTGCACAGTGCTGAGAGCCATTGCATGCAGATTAGTAGCACCTGTCAAAAGGAAGAGAAGAATAGAAGAAAAGAAATAGAATTAGCAGATACACATGAGCATGTCTTGGTTTGGACAAGAGTTAACATTTTTATAGGACATCTCACAGATCTTAGGGTCAATATTTAGAGAAGAATGACTGGCTGGTGTAAAGGGTTTTTCAAAAAACCTTCTTCTACGATCCCACAGGAGCAGCTGGTAACCAAACCAAACTGTGGTCCAGAAGGTTTTGTCATCTCTTAGATCACCTGGCTTACAGAGAGGTGTCTGTGAATAGAGGTTTTAAACACTGGTATTGGGACCTGTGTTGTATAACAGAGCCATCAATTACTTGAAAATAATCACATTTACTCCTGATAATTTATAGATTATTATTGTTATTATAATTGTCAAGACAAAAGTTGGCAGTGAAGAGCTGAATGACAGCAACTGAAATTCAGTGCTTACAAATGCAAGCTAATGATCAAAGGAAAAATAATCCTGACTATTCATGCATAAAAATGAGCCCTGAAGAAGATATTACTATTCTAGAGAAATCTTGGAATCGTCATGGAAGGTTTCTGGGTGTGTCCACGTTAGTATTTTAATTTGGATCACGTGCATGCTTTTGAAGTGAATCTCCCTGTGATCCCCAGTTACCACACCTGTGCCTGCATCACAGCACTGTCCTGGAGAGCAGTGACCACATTCCCTTCCAGTGAAACCAAACCAGAAAATGTGTTTCAGCTCCTGATGGGTGTCCAGTCCATGGCACCAGACTTCTGGCAAACAGAAGTTTACCTGTTATTAAAAAAGCAATTGAGAATGAAAGGGAAGATGATGATCCTTGTGTCCCTGGGGAACATGGGGCTTCCACCTCTGCAGCAGTGCACCCACTGCCAGGAGACAGAACCAGAAGTGATGCCGACAAAGGCCATCAGGGATGGAGTGGCTGTCACTGAAATGACACCTTATGAAAACTTTCTGGCTGGGTAAAGAAGTGATTGAATGGTATAGAAAAGACAGATGGGGGATATTCAGTTAAGTCAGAGATGAATGCTATTTCTCATTGCACAAGAAAAGATATGCAGCAAAGGAAATAATTAGGCAAGTGATGGAGACAAGGGAAGTACTTTACAATAATTAAATATTGGAACTCTTTGCCATGGGATGTTGTGGAAATCAGAATTGTAAAAGGTTTCAAAGAATGGTAAAACAGGTTCTTGGCAGATTGATCCCTTTATACTTTTCAGCACAAACCAATCTTTAAACTGCTAATCATGAGAAGCTGTGAGGGCAGAGCAAGGGCAGCACTTACTCTATAGATGCTGTTTCCTAAGCATCCAATACTAATTTCTGTTTGAATATACAACACGTTGAGCTAAGTGGACCTTTAGTCTGACCTCATATGGCAGTTCTTAGTTTTGTACTTACTACAGTCATTAAACAAACGTAGTTATTGACTAAGGTGTTGATATGCTCTTCAGAGATCACAAACACACAAGCTGTATCCCAGTATTCCAACTCCTAACCCTTGTGAATTAATATCTTTGCAAAGCAACAGACAAAACAGAATAGTTTGGTTTGGTTTCTGCTTTAGAGCCCTCACAGTCTAGATGTAGAATCACAGAACCTTTAAGTTTGGAAAAGTCTTCTAAGACCATTGAGTCCCAGCACCACCAGCTTCACCTCTAAGTTGTGATCCCAGGTACTTTTTGAACACTTCCAAGGATGGTGATTCCACCACTGCCCAGGACAGCCTATTCCAGACTTCTAACAAGCTGCAGTGTGTGGTACAAACCAACAAAAGAGAAGAAGAGAGGAGGTGATAAAGTAACATTGAATCAAACTTATATAATAAAAATGGAAGTTTTGGCTCCTTGTTGTAGCTCTGCTTAATAACTGGGGCTAAAGGGTTAAAGATAAACTGGAAAACATTCCAGTAAACGCATGGCATGAGGCAAATGATTGAGTCAGTGTTACTGGAAAGTCACATTAATGGAATAATATGTTTCTGATGAACAAAACAAGGTTTCTCCTATGAGAAAAGCATTTCAGCATCTAAAAGGGTTTATCCGCAGCTTTCCCACATTTATGGCTTTGGATGGGATTCATAGACTTCCTTAATACTGTACAGAATTGTCAGTCTGCCTTACCTCAATATACATCAAAAAGCCACTAACTTTTAATTAACTTCTAACAAACTCATCAAGTGGTTATTCTGTTATTAGGGTTTTTTTTTCCAGAAATAGTGATTATTAATATACTGATATATAAACAATCTCATTTCTAACTGACCAGCCTGTCCTGTCAAATTGTTTCACACATGTACAATGAACTTTTTTGTGACATCACTTGGCAATCACTGCAACAAAGGAAAGAGCATTGCTCATGTATCTTATTATTCTTAGTAATATGAGAGATCTTAAAATAAAGTGTGACGTTGCATAATTTTTTTAAAGACTACTTTGTGAAATTTGTTTGACTCTGCTAATGGACTTGCCTTTAAATGTTACACAGTTGAAAACTGCTCTCCTATTTTTCATTTTTTTGGGAAAGGACAGTTTTGCAAAATATGAAATTACATTAATGCACCTAATGAATTTGTCTTGCAGAAATCTTTTGTGATAAGTTTCAGGTATTTTAGCATAGGAAATCTGACAGGAAAGGTGCTGGAGAAATGCTGGGTTCACATGGAAGGAAAAGGCACAGTAATGCTTACAGGGCTTGTAAATGGGTTCTGAGAGAAACTGCAAAGATGTTGATCACAAAGTGTTTTGGTGATGAATGTAAGGGAGGAATAGCAGACTGCGAATGGGAGTGCATGAATTTAGGATGACACAGCACGGGAAGACCTTGGTTGATGTGAAGTGACTGAATTTATCTCTACATAAGCAGAGGAAGTAGGAAACTTAAGTTCAGCAATGGTGCAACATAGCAAAGTTTCAAATGAAACAGGAATATGACTCACATATTAAAAGCTATACAGGGAGGAGGAGGGAAACTTTAGATCCCAAATTAAGTACCAGGAATTAGAGGGAAAACTACATTTATGTTCAAAAATTACTTCACATGATTCCAGGGGAAATAACCTGAAAGTTCTTGAAGGAATGATAAATACTGGCTGAAGAGGGGCAAGAACTTTGTGATTTGTCTGCAGTAACTGAAAGCAAGAGTCTGTAATAGGGTCCAGGTGCTTAAACTCAAGCTTTCCACAATCTGAAAATGGGAAAAGTTGAGAAAAAACTTGTGCTATTGTGTTCAGTAAATATTAGCACTGGTTCATCATTTTCTGCTGTGCTGACAAGTGAGAACCAATGTACTGTACTACAACAGTCAGAAAGGACATGGTAGAGATGATGAAGAACTTGACAGTGTTGTATTCATGTGGTCACTGTTACAGACCATGTGCTGCTGTTTGCTGCAGATTAATACATGCAGTGTTTGCACAGTCAGCAAAATGCATCATGGTATGGAAACAGTGATAAAAGTGACAGGAAACTGAAAGAAGCAATGAAAAACAAATTATTTCTGGGGGTGTGTTTTTGTGTGTGGTTTTCAGGGTATTTTGTTTGTTTCATTTTTTACAGTGGAACTGCAAAATGACCACTTCTCTGTCTTTGTGTATAAAAACAGTGTGAGATAGGTAATTAAATAGACAGGCAGTACAGGTAGCAAAATTCAATAAGACTGAATTTTCCTCTAACTTTCCTTTATGGTCTGTTAATGTCTTATGTGCAGTAGAAGCCATAATCATCTGTGCACTGATGATACACAGAAGGTGTAACAGAAACACCAGAGAAAGTTGTGCTTGATAATCTGTTCTAACATCTACCAATGAAATAGCTTCTCTTTCCCCCTACACACAAAGAAACCCTCAGGTTTCTTAAGAAAAGGAAAAGGGTGAGGCCCTTGGCCAGCTTTTTTAGCCTTCCCAGTGCTGCATTTTGTTTGTCTCTTGGTGTCAAAAATGGTGATTGTCAATTAACTGTGGGAAATGTGGCTCTCTCAGAGGAAAATATTTGAGTATCAATGTGCTGAGCAACACTTTCAGAGCCCATGTGATTTGTACCAGCTCCTTCCTCTACTTTTTGCAGGTTTAGGACCTTGTGCAGCATTCTGCACCCAACAGTGATGTGTTAGTGCTGACAGGGAAGCTGAAGTGTAAATACACCATCAGAATACACAGCAAGCAGGGTGTCTCTGTGGCCTGGTGGAGCTCAGGAGCACCAGAGAGCCCTGCTCCTCCCCTGGCCTCACGCAGCATTGGAGGCCATTGGGAGGAGACTTTTCACCAGCAGCAAATTCCATTGCCTGTCCTATGCATTGCATCAGGTGATGGGTTAAAGCACGAGTTCCAAGGTGGCCTTGTCATCTCTCCCTGCTGACTAAGGCCTGTGTGAACAGTCTGTTGTATGGCATTTATCAAATGGATCGAGATAATAAAAATTACAAGCTCCAAGGAAGACACCCCTTTTTTTTCATTGTACACATCCCAAGCTTTGCATTACTATTCTCATCAATCTTGTTACAGAGAATATGCTGTCATTGAAGAGCAGCATGGCTCAACATGTGGACTACAGTTACAGTTCATAATCTCCTATGAGCAGCCTCCTGCTGCCTCAGGAAGCATTGAGAAATTGCCAGAACTGATGGAAGACTGTTCTTTCTCCCAGCTGAATAGCATCTCCCCAGCTTTGTCATGGGCACCACAAAGGATGACAGATCTTTTTCCTGCATTGTTTGACCATGCTGTGCTTTGGCTTTCTGACATGACATCACTTTGAGTATTTCTGTGAGTGCCTCTCGGAAGCGTATCAGGTATTGCAGTGGCACAGGGTGACCACTTACTGACAAGCTGTTTGGGCTGTGATTCAAATTGTTCTGCAACTGTGCTGCTGTTAGTTTTTGTGCTTCATCCACTCATGCCAAACACCACTGACAATCTGCTCTGTTTGGAAGAAAGGCAGGTCTCCTTTTAACATGAAGTGAACGTTCTATTTGTACCATGAATGATGCAATTTCCTCCCCTGCTATTAACTGCTACTCTTGTAGCCTGTTTAGTTTTCCAGGGGGAAAAAAGTCTTGCTTACTGATCAATAAGAGATGTAGTTTACATATAGTTTTTATTTTGGATATGAAGTTTGCATTGCTGGTATATCTTCGTTTACACAACCCTTGATTTTCTACAGTCCATTTGAAGATTTGTGTCCAAAGGACAGGTTACAAACCAAGAACAATAATTTTTAAAGTTTTGCTACAAGGCAGAATTCCTTTATTTAACTGAAATAAATTATTTTCTAAGATGTCAGATTCCCTTATTAATTCTAGGATTTTGTGAACAGCTTTAACATAACTTTTTCTAAATGTCTTTCTTACTTGATGTCCATCTGCTGTTGCTCCTGTTACCACCAAAAGGCAGCCATTCCACAATAACCAGCATTTAAAAGTTGCAGTGTAATGGCAGCTGATCTTTCAAAGTGCTGGGTTAGACACCAAGGATGTTGTTTAGTGCTGAGAAATCACCAAGGATGTTTTGGATGTACACTTAAATACGTACACATTCTCAGGCATTGAGGGGATATCTGGGGATTGCCTACAGATATTTAGTAGTTGATATATCACTTATTCAAGATTTGGAAAGTACTTGAGAAGTAAGCCTCAGGGTTAGCAGAGGAGCTGTGTGATAAGCCTGAGATCTCACAGAAGAACTGATAGCAAGACCTACCTTTTCATTCCCCCTGTGATTATACAGCAGTGCAGCACAGCTTTGCAGAGACAGATACAGCCTAACTGAGGGAGGCAGAGCATGAACCAAGGCTGGTTTACAGCCAGTTTTGAGGCTTTTTTTTTCTTTTGAAGTGACTAGTCTGCAGCTCCATTTCTGAGAAGGGTACTTGAACGTGTGACTCAAACAGAGACATCTCAGAACAGGGTGAAGCGGTGGCTGCAGCCCTTGTGGGACAGAAAGTGCTGAGTGCTCAGAGCACCT